AAAAAATTAATTTAAAATAAATTTAAAAATAAAAATGATTGATACACTTTTTAATTTCAATTTGACATACTTTTCTATACTCATCTAATTTTAATCATTAAAATAAAATATAAATACGATTGGTTTAATTAATTCTTATCTATTATATGACTACATTTTTAAGGTTATTTATTTTTAATTTTAAATTAAATAATAATGATATTTTAATGAATATGTTACGTAACATATTAAATCAAAAAAAAATATCAATAAATTTTTATTTAAAATAAAAAATGACAGTTATTACTTTGAGAGGAATTGAGTAATAATCATGGTCATATATGTGCTAGAGCACAGCATTAATTATTAATTAATTAGGTCAAATAATTCAGTGATTCCATCGATTATTTTAATTATCAATTTGGCTTTTCTACAAACGATATATATCATGGAGAAATATTAACAACTTTGCTTTGTTAGAGAAAAAGATTGGAGAAGAAAAAGTTAAAGCTGATAGCTAGTGAGATTATAGATAAGTTAGATATATAGCCACATTTAACTTTTCTTGCAAATTTGACCAAAATTTGGGGAGGTCCACATTATTTTGTCGGATTTGCTAGCATTTTCCCTATAAAGTATAAGCTGCACCTCAATTCTTAATTAATTAATCTCAATGTTGTCTCCAAAGCTTGATATGTTTGGTATGCTGTCTGTGGGAAAGGAAGAAATTATAACAGACAGAAGACAAGTTATAACTCGTTTTGTTCGTGTTTATCGATAAAGAACCGTATGTTTTGTTCATGTACGAGTATATGCAATTCTAATTAATTTAAGATAAATTGTCTTTTCAATTGTTTGATTATAAATACAGTTATTAATTAACAAAATTGTTAACTTTACAAAAATAACTTAAATAATTTTATGATAATTTTTTTCATAAAAATAATTTTTTATAAATTCAATTCGTATGACTAACTAATGTGATTATAAATGTGTGGATATTGAAGCAAACATTGTGTGATAACACATGGATTTGATAAACTAATTAATTTGAATTCAAAATGACAAATGAAGCACCTAAATTGGCTCATTTTCGAGCCTATACGTATGACCAGTACCACGGGAGAAAAAAAAAATGTATCCATTTTTGTTGGGCGTGTAGTTACTAAGACTTTGATCACAGTTGATGAGACTTTTTTTTTTTCTCTCCCTAAGAAGAGACTTAATTATTAATGGATTGTGAATTGGATTCAAAAGGTAGCAAGACAAAACAAAAAAGTGTTGCATAATTTGTGCCCTCCTTTATTTAGTGGTTTTTATTTTTATTTTTTTTATATGTAAAGATTAGAAATAAAATTTTAGATTTGTGATTAGTAGTGTAATTCTTTTATTAAATCACATAATTGATAGTTAATTATTTTTGTTTTGTAATCTATTTTGTGTCGTATGCAAAATAAGAGAGTCAAAACAAAAAATGGAGCGTGTTTTTACTGGTTTCCTGTATCTGCGTGGGGTGATGTTTGTCATTGTTGCCTTTCGGCGCTCGACCATCTCTTCACCCCACCATGAACCATGCCTTCTTCTTTGACCACTGCTGCCCAGGGAACCAAAACATTCCAATTTAATTCATAATTTTTCTCTTGAGATTTGTGCTAACCAAAAAATGTGATGCATTAGCGTAGTCAAGCCTTGAATAACCTCTTATATAGTTTGAATCTCTGTTCCATCTTTATGTGAACTACAATGCATTTAGTGAATATTTGCCCAGTGAGCACCCCATTTTACTTTCAATTATGCACAATCCCTTATGGCATTCTGATGTATATGGAATATATGTACACCCACTAATCTTTTTCACTCATTATAAGAAAATGTATTTTCTAGTCTTTTTGTCAATCCACTCCAGAAAATGAACACCAGTTCCAATTCAAAATAACAAGAATAACCTTAGCACCTTCTAACCTTAATATATTGATGAAATGACATTTTTGTCACTTTACAGTTTTCTCTTATCAACATTAATTGCCATATTTTTGAAAATGAACCTAATGATGCATAAAGAATAATTAAGAGAAATAAAGAAATGACCTGAAAAACCTATACATATGGATATATTTATGATTAAGTAACAAGACTACAAAAGGATTGCCTCCTCATTTATACCACATGAATGATCATGTAATGTCGGACACGATGGAACAAAAGAGTTCTTTATTTTATAGTCTGAATAATAAAACAAAAGTGATTAACTAAGGATATAACTTTCAATATAAAAAAACTCACATTTCATTCAGTGATTTAAGTTATACAGTTCGATATAATACAAACTGCCCAACACTTCTTTTAAAACAAGAGGGAGAAAAAGGGTAAAAAGAGAGCCATGGCCATTAGAGAGAACTTCAGTTGGTACTGTCAGCTCCTGTGAAATGTTTGTCAGTCCAGCTCATCTAACTTAAGTTAAAAATTAAACGCTGTGCCCATACGCTGAAAAGCTATCCTCAAATTCCCTCCACGCTGCACAGATTTTCCCATATGATGAGCTCATTCCATGCCAAAAATTGGTGTCTGAAACGCTGAGAGACTCGGCTTTGGAGCCTGATATGAATGCCAAGATTCTGCAATCCAGCTACCATACCCAGAAGAACCCTCATAACTGTTCCCACTGCTACCATTCAAGGCAATTGGCGTAGCTAATGGTATTGATGAACCCAACACAACGCTCTGTTCCTGAGCATAACCACCCCCATTGAATGAGTTTGTGCTGTTGCTTTCGCTAACAGCAGAATTCCCTGCAAACTCCATGCTGAAACTAGTACTTCCTGAGGATTGGAACACTGCCACAGGAGGAACGTTTGAATTTTTGGCAGCATTGAATCCATGAACGTTAGACCAGTAATCTGATGTGCCTTGCTTGAGGGGAATAGCAAAGCTGAAGTTGGGTGTTGCAGCGCAAGTGGCAAATGTGACGGAGGATGCTGAGGGATCAGGGTCGTCGTCTGATCGGCTTCCTCCACTACTCTTGCTGGTACAGGTGGAACCAGAGGAGTTCTTGGATTTGTTCATCCCTCCTATGGGAAGTTTGCTGTTGGCAATACTTTGTACGTCATAGCGGCTAATGTCAAAATTGGTCACCGCGTTTAGGCCCCTGAATTTGATTGCAGCAATGTCATAGGCCTCTGCTGCTTCTTCTTGAGTACCTTTTTAACAAATATATATAAACACTCCATTATTCTAAGTATTCATATACATATGTAAACAAAAGTAATATAAATTAATTAGTTTTTCAATGATAAAAGAGAACATGATTAAATACTCACTAAATGTGCCAAGGTAGAGATCTTTGTTGCCAGCTACTCTCCCTATTCTTGCTTGCCACCTACCATGTTGATGATGCCTGAGAATTTTTTTTTTAAAGGGGTTAGAAAAATAGGGTTTTTTTTTTTTTTCTTTTTTCTATAAGGAAAAATTAGAAAAGAAGACGAACCTTGTGACCCCTCTATATATTGAAGCACCCCTAGAAAATCCACTACTTTTTCTGATACAAAAATTAACAAATAAAGAGATCATCAATATTTATCAAGACGTAAAGCTAGCTTTTTCATAGAAAAAAAAAGGAATAAAAACAAGGAAAACAATTGTTGTGCAGTTCACACTACACTTAGCCGCACAATCGTTAGCTAAGAGGTAGGCTCTATAGGGACCCTCCACCATTCAGCCATCTTATTTTGTTACCTGGTGCAATCTAAACTACAAAACAATGATCCTAACAATAATAATTTAGTTTATTACCTTCGAAGAGAAGCAACAAACTCTTGCCGTGTCATGTTTTTCATCTCTTCCAATTCCTTCTCATAGTTTGAAACCTAGAAAAAACAAAACAAAAAAAAAAACATTAATACAAATCTCTTTTTTTATAGTCCAAAGCAAGATATTAATCAGAACACATTAATACAATTCTTAAAAGGATACCGGAAAGTTAGTAGTAGTGGTTGGACCCCAGTACTTGAGTGCGGCGAGATCATAAGCTCTGGCCGCCTTCTCTTCCTTGTCATAGCCACCTGAGAAAAAAAAATGGGAAAAAGAAAAAAGAATCTCCTTAGTTACAGTGACAAGAATCAACAAGAATAATATTTTTTCCACTTAATAAAAGAAAACAACTATGATTTGAAACGGGGACTCACCCAAATAAACTGAAGAAGAACAATGATGAAACACATCCCAACAAAAAAATC